GCCTGCTCCATTATACTCCTGCTATGAGTGAGACCATCCGGTATTTTTCGAGAAAGAGCAAGTTTTTAAACAAAGTAAAAACTTGTAGTTCCTGTTACTTTCTCAGTTTCCGTGTTACTAGCCCCCAACTACTAACTTGCTTGCAGTCGCCAGGCTGCACTTTCTTTTGCTTTCATGGCTTCACCCAGCCTGGTCTCTGTCAGTGATTTCTTCACCCCCAGCACTTTCATTCCCTTCCCCGGCCAACTGCATTCGTCTGTTAAGACCCTGCTTCGGAATACTAACGTCAGCGAAGTGCCCGCCTGTAGTAAGCCACGCTGAGTTAGCCACCACCACCACCACCATCACCATCTGCCCCCTTCAGGCACCATTCTCTGACACAGTCTCTTCCTACTCCAGGTGTCTACGGCACCCACACCAGCTTCTCAACAGTGTGATCACTCATTTCCTTGTCTCCTCAGGCTGTTCACCTACTGGAGGCTGGACTGCTGCGGCTCCTATTTCCCTCATCTATGGCAGTAGCTTGGCTCAACAGGTGACTGAACTGGGGCAAAAACTCACTAGCTTGACCAACAGTCTTACCAGAGTCTTAAGCACAATTTTAGTCTTTTGTTTCTATCATAAAGTTTAAGGACATGTGTGAGACACTGATGAGATTAAGGCATCGGTAGACTGTTTTCAGAGGAAAACATCCTGCACCCGATTCCCTTCAGACAGCGTTGACACTTGCCCATCAGCGCTCGGTCGATGATGCGGATGGCCATCGTCATGAGGGTCCAGCACTTGGAACATATGTCTGCAGAACTGGAGCACAGTCATCATTACTCGCTAACACTGACATCACCCACCCTCGTGGCAAGGTCGGCGACACTTACTTACAACATCTCCTCACATCATCGTAGTCAGTCATGTCGATGTCAAACACCAGTTCTTTTTCCTGAGCCTGGAAAGCTCCCAGCTTCACTGTATTGTGTTGACTGGGCTATGAGGACAAAATACCAGTCATGTTTTTACAAGAGCTGCCACGGTGTCAATATGCTTATTTCCTACCTACATGGAAAAGGGATCACAGAAAAGCAGGAGAACCATATACTGCCAGTTAAAGCTCATTAATTTAGATCCTACATATTCAGAATTGATGAATGTAACTTTTATTTACTTCAGACAGGGATTGATAAAAACATACTGCCATGCATTTTTCCAGTTCTCTTGAGATATCACTGACACACAACATTGTATAATATTTGATCAACAGAAATCATAATTATTTTTAGGCTACACACATATATAAAAAAAATTAACATCCTATCGCAGGGTGTTTTAAACTTTTATTGTTACTGTCCATGTAAGCAGAGGAAATGTATTTAAAATTTTTTAATAATCCAAAAAGACCTCCCCAAATATTTCACCTTCCCTGAAGCCATGCTCTACCAGGTAACAGAGCACGGGCTGCCTGCAGATACGAACTTTGTTCCATCCAAGGCCAGGTAAGTCTTTTAAGAAAAGAACCAGAGAAGAGACAACATCACCACGATTTTCACAAGGAGACGTACAAAAGCTGACTCCGACGATCTTGGTAAAGAAAGATAAGGAGCAACCCAATTTATACCTTAGAATTGCCAAAAGGTGGGCCCTCCTTTTGCAATAGGTTAAAGCATAGCACCGTGAAGCTAGCTGCAATGCTTCACTGTGAGTTCAATCCCTGGCCAGAGCTGACCCCCAGGGCGCCGCAGAGCTCTCCTGTCTCCCGCTGCCCCCTCAGCAGTGGACTCTGTTGATCTGCCTGTTCTGCTCCCCACTGTCTCTGGGGAATCCTTTCACGTCCCCCCAGCCCCGCCCCTCTGGCCTGTACCCCAGTTCTATATGCGTAAATGAATATTTGTAAAAACCGCCCAAAAGCTCAGGAATAGGTGACAGTGGGTTACCGCTGGAAGCATATGTGGTGGTAAAGCTGAGATTAAAAATGGGAGAGTTGGTTTAAAATCTGTCTATGAAAGTTACCCACTTTCCTATACTTTGCACAATTAGGTGACTCATTCAACTCTGGCAAAGCGATTTGAACTATCACATGGAGTGCACAGAACAGAGGGTACTGGGTCTGCACGGGGAGGGGCGACAGCATGGGTGACGGAAGTTGTGC